GGTCCCAGCACAGAACCCTGAGGCACCCCGCTAATAACACTAGCCCAGTCTGAAAGGGCGCCATTTATTGATACTCTCTGTACCCGTTCCTTTAGCCAGTTCTTTATCCATGTACACACCCTTCCATCTATGCCCATAGCTCTTAGCTTGTGAAGTAAGCGTTTATGAGGTACCGTATCAAAAGCCTTAGCGAAATCCAAATATACCACATCCACAGACCTCCCTCCATCCAGATCTCTACTTACCCCCTCGTAAAAAGTCAGTAGGTTAGTCTGACAGGAACGGTCTTTCCTAAACCCATGCTGATTATCACTAACTATACCATTAGCCTGAACAAATTCTACTAAATAGTCCTTAATCATTCCCTCTAGCAGTTTGCACACTACAGATGTAAGACTAACTGGCCTGTAATTCCCAGGTTGGCATTTTGCCCCCTTTTTGAAAATTGGAACTACCGTAGCCCTCCGCTAGTTGGCACAAGACAACAGGCTGTGCTTCAGGAAGAGAAATAAAGTAGTAGAGAAGAAATCCATGTTATCTTGTGTGGTGAAAGTGATGTCCCAAAAACATCATTAACCTAGTGCCAGCCTTATAGTGAAGCTAACTGCCATTCCTCTTTATTGACAAGCAAACCACCTATTTAGCACATTTGCTACACTAGTTATAGTATAAACAGCTTTTTTTTTACCCCTATCAGTTTATATATGTAGAAACACTGAGAATGTATTAAAATAACATATATTACAATAAATCATAATTACACCTAATAGTGCAATTTTTAAGCCATGGAAGTTGTGTCACAGATTTAAACAAAGTCCCTAAATGTTAAAAGGAAATTTTACATTTCCAATTTGTTTAAATACCTGCTGAGTCACTGACTTAGAATAGGTATAAAGATAAGATGTTCTGACTTTACTGACTGCATACTTTTCTTTAGGTCATTCAGCTGTCATGCTAAATGATGGCATTAGATAGTGTGGGAGCTGATGCACTCCCTGCTCTGCATACCTCCTGGCCTGGGTTTCTAAAAGCCATTACAAGGAACAGATATACGTCCATAGGCAAAAGCCATTATAGTAAAGGCTGGTTTTTCTATTGTTATGGTATATGATTCTCTCCAAACTCTGTTTTGTATAGAGCCATGTGCCACATTTGGGTGTTCTTAGAGTTCTGCTTGCATCTGAGCTGGAAACATTACTATGTGATCAGGTTTACTATCTTCTACCTGCTCCTAATTTTAAAACTCAAATATATGGTGTTAAGCACATTTGTGCTTTTCACATCTTGTTATTTGGCAGCTGGTGATGGCAACTGTTGAGAATTCAAATGAACCTTTTTATTCTTTTCTTAAATACATTCTTCAACTGCCTGAGAATAGTATTTATTAGTGAGTGTATTACATAGGTTCACAAGTCTCCTATGGTACTCAGAGCATACAGTGTGCCAACATTCTGCTCAATGGCTTTGGTATTCAGATGCACATTTGACATTCAAGTAAACTGCATGTTCCTGGAGCTACAGATACTACCTGATAACAGTATGTGGTTAACACCTATAATGATGGTATATAGCATATTAATTTTTTTTATCGTACATACATTGTTTTCTCCACATTTACATGCAGAACAAACTACCCAGCAAAAACGACAGCTACAGGGGTTGTGACAAACCACACAACACTGTTGAGGGTGCTTACAATGGTTGGCTTATATTCAAAAGGTTTAAGCTTCTAAGCTATTACAGCAAAAGTTTTTTGTTTGCAAAAAGAGTTAGTTGGAGTTAGTGTTACTTTGTTGGTCACTTACTTAAAGTCCATTTAGTATAGCACAGTAAAACCTTCTTAAATCAGAAGGCATTAACATGTCTCATTCCATCACGTCCCAAAAAAAAGAGAATTATTCATCACTTTCGGACAGTGGGATATGTGATGGAATCAGACATGTGAATACCTTGGTGGCAATTTACCATAGCAATTGCGAGTGTTTGAACTTGCACGGAATATATTTGACGCACATTGCACCAGATTTATGATGCTAGTGTAATGTCTGTTCATAAATGAGGTTAAATAGACTCCAGGAAAGAAGACTCGTAACTCCAGGCAAAAAGCATAACTGAGCTTCTTGAATAAGTAGTCATTGGGACTTCATAAGTTGTGATTGTTTTCTTAGGTGATGCTCCAGTTTCAGACAGCCGCAGAACAATTGCAGATGAAAACAGGCGCAAAACACATGCAGTTCTGGAAAAGTAGTGCAAGCTCTGGTCAAAACAGGGGCGCATGTTAAAAGAAAGATTTGCACATAAAAAAAATTATCCAAGAGGCTAAAACTGTCACAATTGCTTTAATAAATTCCCCTCCTTGTGTTTTAAGAAGGCTTTACTGTGCTATGCACTGATTTGGTTGGAGGGCCATTCTCACCATAACCTTAATGGGTATACTTGCTATTAAAACCTAAGAGTACCCTGTCTCCAGGGGGACAACACTTCGCTGCATGTTCACTGCAGAATGATGTTGTCATCCTATCGACAGATGTAGAAACATAGGATAGTTGTGCCTAACGCCTCACTTAGTATGAATAAAATATAAAGTGCCCAATGCTAAAAACTACTGACCCAGAGATGAAGATGATGGATACATAGATAGATAGATAGATAGATAGATAGATAGATAGATAGATAGATAGATAGATAGATAGATAGATAGATAGATAGATAATCAATCATATATGACAAAATGCATCTGAAAAAAGAAGCTATGTTGAGCTTCTACCAACACCTGAATTAGAAATCTGTTAGGTGGAAATTTCACCTCAACATGTGCAAATTCTTGCATGATTTTTTCGAACACTGCAGTGAGTCAAAAATGGCACAACCATATAAATGTAACTCTTTTCTAAGTCTTTTCTAATTCATTTCTCTTTTGTGGATCTGTGTGTTATATACCGTATGCCATTATAGCCATTTTGTTTCATTCTGATGCTGCTTCTACAATTTAGAGGTAAGATAAATATGAGGTTTTTTAATTTACTTAGGGGTATTTTTATAAACTATTCGCAGAGGCAAAAACAAATGTTATCAGCATTTTTGTTTCCAGATGTAATGTAATATCAGAAATACACTGCATTATAACCACTAGATGGAGCTAGTGAGCATCAGAAATAAATACTTATTCCCTATGCTCCTTAGCCCCATCTACAACAGAACAAGCAATTCCGCAGGAAACATTGCTCTGTGAAATTGTTTAAAAAACACCCCTTAGTGTTTGTATTAATTACTAGCTCAGTCTCTGCTTAACTATTTGCAGACTATACTATATTGGTAGATTATCATTGCCATGTACAGGGCATCAGAATAACACAAACCGCAGATTTATACTAGGCTAGTTTTACCTATTGCTGCATTTTTTTCATAATGTAGTTTATGTAAATTATAACAATTACACCTCCTTTTTATTACAATATAAACATAAATATTAAAACATTTTACTTTTGGCATGACAATTCTTTGTAAAATAAGCAGTCCTACCTGCTCCAGGAATTATGGCCAGCTTGGTTTCTACTAGACCCATTTTAGCTGTAGAAGCTGAGATATTATACACAAAATTAAATCCACATAAAAATCAAATTACAAACTCTGAAAATAACAGTACTACACACCCACACATTTTAAATTCAAAAATTGGCACCATTTAAAAACCAACAACATTGTCCTTGTTCACTCTATTCTGTTTAGTGCATTGTCTTTAGAATTGTCCTTTAAAGTAAACCTAGGTTACTGAAGTTCCATTAAAAGACTTACATGTAACTTTAGCTACCTACATCCCAAATTTGTTCAATTACCCTAAAAAGTTTTGCAAGGTGCATCTAAATCTTTAAAGAAGAACACCAAGAAATGTTTTTCTATTTTCCCTTACAGTGGGGCTACCCCCACACTGCAATGGTTACATGCTCATTAGTGACTATGGGCTAAAATAACAAAGATATACTCACCCAAAGCTCCTTGCTGGCTGACTATCACGAGTTCCCTCCAGCCTGTCTGCCCTCCTTGCAGCATTGGAATGTTTCTCAGCGTCCTCACGTTGATACACTGTGTACAGATGTGATGAATAGACTGCTGCAGATGAGGGGCAGAGACGTTGGAAGGACCGGTCTAAGAAGAATCTAGCTCCCTGCTTTGGATGAGTACTTTATTTTTTTAACCTAGACACAAATGAGCACTTAACCCTTGCAGTGCGGGGGCAGCCTCATTGCAAAGTTTAATAAAAACAAAATTCTGGAGTTCTTTACATCGTCAGGTAAGCTGCAGTCCATACAACACAGCTAACTTCCTGGGAGTGACAAGATGGGTACTTACTCTCATCTGCTAAAGCGAGAACATTTTTATACTAAAATGAATTCCTTTAGCATGTAATAAAAATCATTACTGGAGAAGCTAAACCACCATGGTATTTCCAGGACCCATTAGGTCCTTTGTTAGGTAAAGAAGCTAAAAAATAAGCCCACTTATTAGTCATAACCCATGAACATGAGTCATAACCCATGAACATGAGTCATGTAATACAATACTGGCAAGTGGACTTCAGCCATCATAATTTTAAAATATACTCCTAGTAATTTCCCTAAAGCAGCTACTACAAGCACTATATGTAGCTACTTTATAGTATAATTTTATAAGCTCCGATAGGAAGAATGGCAGCTATATCACAGTGAAGACAACTGGTTTCCATCATGAAGTATTCATGGGAGTGACAAATATACAAATGACTGTGCATTCTCAAACTGCCATGCTATATCACTAGACTGAATACCTCATCCATTACAAAGAAGTAGAACATTCTCAAGCTGTAAGGTAATTATGCACATTTCACAAGTAAGCTTGACACTTGAGAGGTGCGCAAATATGTTTATTTTGTCTGGTGCTATCCATTGGCTTGTCTTGGCTTTCTTAGTCATGGTATAAAGTAAAATTCTGCCTATTACCTCTAGTGTGTTTAACACCTTACAGACCGATGACGGGATAGTGCCAAGGAGGCTATTAAAGTTATGGGACAAACATACCACATTCTAAAATTGTTCCACACTAAATTTGTATTTCATGCCTTGTATTTTGTGACCTATAACTCCGAAAATAAACAAAAATCCCAGACATATGATATACCCTATAAATCAGGACAAATAAAATAATTTATTATGAATTACTTTGTGTTAGAAACACTAATTATGTACACATTATTATTGCCAAAACCGTGAAAATTTGTTTTTCCATGGTTTTGTATTTTTTATAAAAAAATAAGAATTTATACATGTATATGTCACATCAAATTAAAGCCCTTTTTGTCCTTTATAAACGGTATATAATATGTGTAGGCGCAATGAATAAGGAAGATGTAAATGATGGTTAAACAAACATATAGCAAACATGGCAAAATTGCCCTGATCCCCAGGAACTAAAAAAATTTCTGAAGATGTGCCACTAAGGGGTTAAACATTATTTATAGCTTGTTTTAATATTTCCTCCAAATTTTTTAGATTTTATGAGTGCAAACCAAGTGCACATTGACGGATTGTATGGCTTCTTGTGCAGGACAGATTTATGGGAGAATAGGCACCCTAAAGTGTGTTCTCCCAGTAAAGAGTGCTATAAGGGTCAAATAAAAACTAACCACTAGACAAAAATGTGTCCATGATCTATATGGCCCTATGTTATGGAGATGAGGAGAGAGGAAGATATTTTGTATCCCTAACACACTCCTTGTCCTAGGGTGACCGCACTGTGAGCGAGCATCACCCTAGGACAGAAAATGTGATACTTGTGAAAACACCAGGAAAAAAGCCACAAAAAAAGGAAACTAAAGCAGCCACCACATGTACAGAACAAGTAAGCTGCAGTTTATTAAATTTTTGTTCTTGGGTTTAGATACATTTTAAAATATAGCTAAAATGGATGAATAAAAAGTAATACATCAGCTTTAGTAAATAAGTGCATGAGTCAATAATCAAGTGATAATATTCACTCATATTGGCGGTAAAACAGAAGGATATGGTGCAGGCATTTCCTGGTGTGAAGAGATTATCGTTAAGAATCTCCATTTAGAAAAAAAAAAAACTTTTATGTTGTTAATTCTTAAACTTGATTTATTTGTTTTTGACCTGAGGCAGTAAAGCAATGGTTTGATCACAGATCTCATGGAGCAGGTATACAGTAGATCTGTTGGAGCAGCTGATACAAATACTTATTTATAAGGGAGGGGGAACAAGGAAATTATGAGTAAGGATTTTTTCAGTCAGATGCTATGTTCCTTTTATTGTTTGCTAAATTAAGTGCTAATGATTATTTCCCCATATGAATAAGCATTTTTTTTAAGTGTTTGAAAAACCATATACTTTTTCTACATGCCATGGTCAGTCCTCACTTTTACTTTCTATAAAAAATAAAACAATGATAATAAATCTTAATTTTTAAAACAAAACTAGCTATATAAATAAAATATATTAAAAATAAATATAATTAAAAAAAAAACATTTGCCATCTATGGTTAAGAAGTAATTCTGTAACTGACCTTACCTGCTACTATGATGTCAGTGGCTAAAGCCATCTCTAGGCCTCCCCCTAGAGCTGCTCCATCCAAGGCAGCGATGGTTGGCATTGGAAGGTTTGCTAAGGAAAACAAAGTAATAGGGTTACATATTAATAGCCACAATCAGCTGAAAAATAATGTATCAAATAAAGCTTAGGGGACATTCCACATTCATTGAAAACATTGTTAGTCATACTAAACATGGCTATGAATTTAATGTGAAGTAATCAATGTGTCAGCCTCTCATTGCTCAAGAATGCCAAACTGTGCTGGATGCGTCAACTATCGTACTATAATTTAGTATATTAAATGCTCAGGTCAGAGTGATCACACTACAATCAGTAAAAACCTTTAAACCAGGAATATACACAGAAAATAATATACATATCTACAACAATGGTACTTTGCCATTCAACTTTCCAAAACAATCTTAGAAAATGTATTTCTTAAATGAATATGTTCTACTTGTTATGCTTAAAATAAACAATATATACTGTATATGAATATATATGTTTTTAAACTTAAATGTCATTGTTATGGATCTAAAAAAAACTGTCCATCTGCCAGTGCATGCCCATTTTATAGACAGATTGCATTCCATCCTTTGTCAACAACCACCCCCACTAAGCAGTTTTACTTCAACAATTTTGATGACTGTCACCATAATGGTACCCAACAGTTTGTAGCAGTACAGTGATATACATTAAAAAAAAAAAAAAAGCAACCTGAATTTTAAGATGGTGAGGGTAGGCATTGCAGCAGACAACCACAGACCACAAACTATAACTTTTTTAATAAACTCATCACTGTGTGCTCCTTTCTATATTACAGTCCAGCTCATTCTTTCTACAAACCTACTAGGTTCTCACCTAGCACTTTATCTGAGACATCTACGTTTTTGCTATAAAGGGGTGTAATAAGCCTGGTCCTATTTATATAATCATTTTTAATCATTAATTTGTAAACCAGCAATTATTTTTTAATGTATAAATAAAAAAAAGTGAAAACAGAGAAGATCTATATATTCCACAGGAAAAAAATAGCAGTGGTTGAAGATCTCAAATGCATGGAGAATTTGTCCCGAGTAAATAGATACCAAACATGCAAAGCTTAAAAACCGTGTGTGTTTATGAAACGGCAAAAAAATGTACCCTAAAATGTCTATAGGTGAGGCTTTAAAACCTGTACAGGTCATCAGTTTGGAGTTAACCATGAATATTGGCCCTAGAATTGCTCTCACTCTGTTGTTTTTTGTACACCTGACGTGTTTGCGTTAGCAAGTGTGTGTACGCAGTGTGTGTACATAACTTCATTGCCATCACATAGGGTGCTCACATTGGTGGCAGTGAAAGGGTTAAACTGAATGTTCAATCAGGTTTTAAAACTTTTTTTCATTAAAAAGAAATATTGCTTTTTAGGTACAAATACAGAGGTTGATGTGTTATAAAATACTTTGTGAACCCTCAGCATATTCATATACAATGTAATTGTGCCTCAGAGACTGGTACCAATCCACGATGTGCCCTTCAAGCGTATCTAACCAAAAAACTAAAATTTTAATGCAGCTTTCCAGTCTTTAGATGTGGGGGCGGCATTAGTTTTCAGGATAAAAACATTTTCAGCAAGTGTTGATCTTGCCTCAAATGCAGTGTCCTTGTTACTTCCTTTGAGCTGAACAGAAAGCACAAACATCTTTCTTGTGTAAAATACTAGTCCCGTCAATACCATGTAATGGCGATGAACAAAGGCAGACATCTTCAAATTCCAGTCTATATTGCAAACATGGCTTTGTCTATAGATGTATAGGACAGAAAGTGAGTTATCTGCAGGATTACCAAGTGGAAAATAAAGTGAGAAAAAGCATATATACAGTAAACGGAACCTTTTTCCAAATTACACTTTAAAGTAGCATTTACTTCTAACAAAATTACCCCCCCCCCCATAAACAACTTGTTTAAATTTGGGCCCAATCACTCACAGTTTCTTACAAAGCTGTCCCCCTCTTTTAGTGCTGCTTCCACCGAACTTCCTATTGGGGAGAGAGCATGCAGGTGACCTCACATGGTGACCTCAATTGGGGTGAAGACGGGAGGAGGGGGGAGCAGGGCCATAAGCTTCATTGCTGTGTGTTTGTGCTAATGCACACAGTGCAGGGACCGTAAGCTAGGAACGCACTTGCAAGGGTGGCTCCATATGACCCTGAAATGCGATTGAGCCCCCCTGAAACAGGAAACCCACAGCAGTGAGCTTGTGACAGCTCAATGATGAAGGCATGTAAAGAAGATAAAGCAGCAGATCAGGTAAGGGCTAATGTCAGCTGCTGGAATAGTTAATAAAATGTTAGCGTTAATAACACTTTAAACATTGTTTGATTGCCAAAAGTTACTTTAAGAGCCCTTTCCCTCTCTTTTATTTGGTCTGGCTGTCACTGAATAGTCCTGTTTGCATGCAGTAGTCATGTGGCTCCTACTCTTAAAAATGATGGCTGACTCACCTGACAAGGCCTAACATGATAACTTACGTTATGCTCATCATAGAAAGGCATATATTCCCGCAAGAACAATGATGGTAAAATGACTAACCTTTCACTGCTTCAGTGCCAGACACAGTTGTGCTATTTGCCTTATGGCAACCGTATCATATGTAGGATAATTCTGAGTTTTCACTTCTATAAAGAACACTTATACAACTATAAGTTGGAATATCTCCAACTACCTGAATAGCCTGTTATCAAATTTAGGTAGAGGAAAACATGCCCAATTATCACAAGTGATGCTTGAAACTAGGGATGCGAGTACCGATATTTTTTTCCCAGTACTGTAAAAATGTGGAATAGTCTTCCACAGGTGCTAATACTAGCCAGTTTGTAGATTTCTTAACTGGTTGCCGGCTGGGCAATTGTACATAAATGGCTGGGCAGCAGTCGCATAAGTGTGG